CTCCGGACATTCAGGCCGGTAAATGTTATTTAATACTGTTTATTATAAACAGAGCATTTACTAAATACTTGTATCTATAAAAAAAAAAAAAAAAAAAAAAAAAAAACGTTAAACATAAAAAATGTCTTTTAATAAATAAATTGTCGGACTTTGTCGATTTCTTAATATATATATATATATATATATATATATATATGTATGTGTGTATATATATATATATGTGTGTGTGTGTGTGTGTGTGTGTGTGCATATATATCAGTCAGTATAATATAATATTATAATATAAAAAAGTATATAATATAATAATATTATAATATAAAAATATATAATATAATATTATAATATAAAAAAATAAAAATATAGTATTATAATATAAAATATATATATAATATTATAATATAAAAATATATAATATAAAAATATATATAATATTATAATAAAAATATAAATATAATATAAAATATATATAATATTATAGTATAAAATATATAATATAATATTATATAAAAAATATATGATATAATATTATATATAAAATATATATAATATTACAATATAAAATGTATAATATAATATTATAATATAAAAATCTATATAATATTATAATATAAAAATGTATAATATAATATAATATTATAACATAAAAAATAATATCAGTCAGTTATTTTATATCAGTTATATCATAATAAAATATAAATAATATAAAAATCATATAAATCTGTGAACTTTCTCGTTCTGCTTGTCAGTCTCTACATGCATACTTATTCATTTTTTCTAAATATCTTATCCCTTCAGTACTAAGACAATACTTTTATTCCAACCTACCCTTCTATTCAGGACATAAATGTAGACGATTGTGGCTCTCCACAGTCTCCTTCAGTGCGTAGACAATCATATCCTACCAGAATTTTATTTTCCTTTATTATCTGTGAATTATTATTACTACTAGGGAAAGATAGCGGAGTATTTTCCATTACCTCCTACACCATGTTGAATTTAGTATTTTTCGTTTCCTAGACTGGGTAACAACCAAAGGCTCTAGAGCCCAGTCTACCCTACGTTTTTCCGGCCTACCCAAGCGTAAGCGATTATCGTTATCCACAGTTTCCTTTATTATCTTTTAATTGTCCTGACTTTCTGGGTATGACTGTGGATTAGCTTCCCATTGCAGGCTCTAGTGGTTGGAGTCTTGAGTTGTCCTCCAGCAAGATTGGCTACCACATAAGTATGGACTTCCCAGTCTACACTGTTATTTAATTCATTCTTAAATGTCATGTATCCCTAGGAGATCATGGCTCTCCACAGATTCCTTTCCATTATTGTCTCCGAATTGTCACAGGAAAGAATTTCAGGGTTTGAATTTAGAATAGACCTTGTAAACTGGCTGCCAACCAAGGCTAGATATCCCAGTGCATCATACATTTATTCCAACTAAGCCCTATATTCCGAAATAAATTCATATGACCCTAAACAGACATTTCTTTAGTTATCTGGGAATAGCCCCTACCATCTGAGAAAAAATATTGAAGTGGTTTTTATTGCCTTCTCCGCTGTTTTGAATTTAGAATACACTTAGACTGACCCCTACTCAAGGCTATAAAGCGTAGTCATGACTTATCTTGGCGACCCAAAAGGTCCAGAGTCGCGTGTATGTTTTGCAAAAGAGTGTGGAGACGACGAATCGACGAGCTTCGGACGGACGGTAAATTAGGCAGCACTTTTGCTGATGGAAATACCGCTTGTAGCCATTTTTATTGGCTGGTTCTGGGCGCTCATTCGCTGAGTTCTGGCTGGATCAGGTGTATAAAAGCATGGTATGCGCATTCAACGGTCGTTCGCTTTTCACTCCTGACGGGGAGTAGCGTATTAAAGATCGAACCGAGGAGAGAAGTATGGATTTCTTTTGCCTAGTGTATTGGACTGTGTGTGTGTGTGTGTGTGTGTGTGTGTGTGTGTGTGTGTGTGCATCCAACCAATTTTTGCACATAGAGCACAGTCTACCCTACTTTTATTCCAACTTCCTTTTCTATTCCACAGTAGTCGAGTGTGCTTCTTCAGAGACGCTTTCTTTTATTATTTGTGGAACTGTCAGAACATCTTGGGAAATACAGCAGAGTCATTTCTTGTTGTCTTCTCCATTATCTTCTTATGCATCGTATTGGCTGAACTTTCGTAAAAAAAATAAAAAAATATATATTCCAATTATCCTGTAGTAGACGAGCGCGATTCTCCAGAGATTCTCCAGAGACCTTTCTTTCTGACTTGCCATGATTTCTTAGGAAAGATAACGAAGTAGTTTCCTGTTGTCTTCTCTACGGATTTGAATTTAGATTCCTCCTTCAAGACCGGCTCCTACTCAAGGCTATAGAGCAGAGTGCACCTTATTTTTCTTACAAACTACGCTTTTTTCCCAAAGTAGACGATTGCGTGATTGCCAATAGGCCCTTTATTTTCTGTGAATACCAGGGCTTTTTAGGAAATATAGCGGAGCAGTTCCCCGTTATTTTATCTATTATCTTCCTAAGTCTTGTATTGGCTGAAATTTAGTAAAAAGAAAAAAAATTGAATGAAATAAAAGATAGCTATGACGTGTGTGTAATATAAAGGTTATTAGCCCTGAAAATGGAATCGGCGGCCTGTGTTCAATTTCTGACCAAGTCTGCAGTGTCCACTTTCTCACTAACGTCTTTTGAAATGGTGAATTCCGAGTTCCAGACATTGGAGAAGGCAACAGGAAACAACTTCGCTATTTTTCCAATTAATTTAAATTCGTATTAAGTATTTTGCATATTAGAAATATTATTTATTACCTTTGGAATTACAAGTAAAATAAAACCAAATAAAAATAAAATAGAACTGTTGTTCATTTTTTCAAATGCATTTTAAACCTTAGATACATTTTTTGGCTACTGCGACTGTTTCTTTTCTCGTACTTCCCGCTTGTGGAACTCCCTTCCGTTTACTTGCTTCCCCGATAGCTACAATCTTCAAAAATTTAAATGCAACATCAATCGACATCTTCTGTCTTCTTGTATCCCGTTCATCTTTTGTCCTTTCCTCAATCCTCCCTGTACTCAGCCTTCTCTTTCACTTTCAATCCCTGTAACTCCCTGTAAAGTTTAAAGAAATGTAGATTTTATTTTTGGAGGATTGTGTTCACACTCTTGTCGATTTTAACGATTTCATGCAAAAAATAATTCCTAAATTTGGTTTGAAATGCAGCAATAAGTTTTGCATATTGGAATATTAAATTTAATTTATTAGCTTGGAATTAAAACTAAAATAAAAGCTTCATGAAAGATTATTAAATTTTAAAATGCATTTTAAACATTAGATACCGCTTTTATCCTTATCTCTTTTAGGGTGGTGCCTAGGTTACAGTGACTGTATATATTGTTTCTTTATTGCTTTAGATTCAAAATGGCCGAAAAATGTAATCACCTGGAAGATTCACAAATACAGCAAAACATCAAAATTGTCCCCTGCTGAACAAAAGTAAGTAAATACAATAATTTTCTTTATTAATACCTGTTTGATCCCTGTCGTTACACTGATGGCAAGGTGATAAAATTTTAAATCTAAACTGTTTGTCCATTTAAAAATACTACATTATATTCAGTTTAAATACACAATAAGTCAAAATGGCTTCAAAACGCCGGCTTATACCCCCTTTCCAATGTTGGGGCCGGATAAAGGGGAAATGGCCATCACTACACGATGTCTTCTTACAATCTGTACCTAGTGTCTCTCTCCGCTTTTCTAACATTTGTAAAGGTGATAGTATTATTCATCTCTTTCCGACCGGGTAAAGCGATTCCGATCAATAATGCTATCATCTTACACGCTATTTTTATAATCTCTTCGACTATTATTGTTTAATCTCCCCATTGTGATGATGTGTCATATTAAGCTCTGCATATTGAATATATCTAAAATTGTTACTTGACTAGTTAAGCATCGCTGTTATGAGTAAATTATTATTATAAGTTATTATGTTTAAAGAAAAAAAGCATGTAAAAAGTGAAGAAAGGGATAATCTTCAAACATGGGTCTACAAATTAAATTTTTTTTTATATTAAGTATTTGTTTTCTTTCAAGTTGAAAGAAACGAATTACAAATGTTCTCGCAAAACAATGTCCCACAAAAATATTTTGTTTTTACAACACAACAGAAATAATTGCGTTAGTATGATAGAAAAAAACAGGATGTGCCGCCATAAAGTGAGTGTCACGTATTTACGTTGTTTATGAAGGCATGTAATTTTTCAACAGTCAAAAAATGAGTGCTGTGTTATTACTAGTACTTGTTTTTTTTTTACGTAACTCCGTTCGTATGTTTTGCCTGTTTAGTTTACTTTAAAATTGCGAGGCTATTGCAAGAAGATACTTGTTAAATATGGGAAAGATTGAGTAATTATGCAGAAGGTGTGGGTAAACAGCTTATCCACAACCACGTCAGATCAAAGGTTTACGGAAAAACTGAAAGTTGAAAACTGAATTTACGCAACTGCATTTATAGAAAATAGATGGAGCAAGAGAATTAAAAGTTAAATTTACTAAACTCAGAAGTTTACTGGTTAATAAATATTTTTCTCAAATTTTAAATATCTATTTTTAGAAGAGAAAATATTGTTAATCATTTTATGGAGTAATCTCTGAAATGATGTTGCAGACGACAAATATAGTTGCCTGATTTTTCAAAGCTTTACGAGCGTTTGAGATGACATCTGTGATTGGTTAATAAATGCTAATGTGGAATATTTAAATCTGGAGTCGGTGTTTGCATAGAATTGAGATTTTTAGTGAAACTTAAATCTATTGATTTTTTTTTCTACAATTTTTAACGAGGTTCCACATGTTCCTCTTTTTCAGGCGTGCTATCTTGCGCGGCCTCAATCAGTGGTCAAAAGTCACCCCACTGGCATTTTTAAGAGCAGAGCGCAAAGGGGATATTGATATTTCATTCGAGAGATGGTTTCACGGAGATGAAAGCGCTTTTGATGGAAAAGGTAAGTTAAAATAAGACACTCTAATTTCTTTCTTTCTTTCTTTCTTTCTATGTTTATTTTGATTTAATTTTGTCAGCATCTTATTCCGTTCTCCCTCCCGCTATTTCTCCCTCTCTTTCTCTCATACCTAGCTCTACACATCTCCTCCCTCAATATTTCTTTTGTCTATCTCACCTTCCTTTCTCTTCCTCCTCCTTCCTTTGTGTCAACTCATTCTTCTTTTTATCTTCCTCTTCCTTTATTCACTTCCTCGTCGTCTTTCTTTCGCACACCCTCCTTTTTTTTCTTTTTTTCTTTCTCTTTATCACTATTTTCGCTTGATTTTATTTTGTCGACCTCATATTTCGTTCTGTCTTTTCTCCTTCTCTCTTTTTCGTTCTATCTTTCATCTACTTCAGTATTTCCACTTCTTTCGATCGACCTGTTTCTCTCCTTCCTCAGTCTTTTTCTCGTCTTTTTCCTCTTTCTATCGCCCCCTTCCTTTATCCTATTGCTCCTTTTCTTTCTTTCATACACTCTCATCTTTCTTTCTTTCTTTGTTTCTTTGTTTCTTTCTTTCTTTTTTCTTTCTTTCTTTTTTTTTTCGCTTTGATTTCGTTTTGTCTACAACTTATTTCTTTCTCTCCTTCTTTCTCTTCTCCCCCTCTCTCATAATTCACTCTACTATCCTCCTCCCTCAACATTACTTCTTCTTTCTATCACCTTTTCCGTTCTCCTCCTCCTCTTTCTACTTGCCATATCGTTCTTCTTTCTGTCGCCTCCTTCCTTTAACCTCTTCCTCATCCTTCTCTTTCTTTCACACACTCTCTTTTACTTTGTTCTTTCTTTCTTTTTTTCTTTCTTTCTGTTCGCTTCGATTTCGTTTTGTCGGCATTTTATTTCGTTCTCGCTTTTTCTATCTTCTCCCTCTCTTCCCCTAATATTTCACTCTACACTCCTCCTTCTCCCTCAATATTTCTTTTGTCTATTGCATACTTCCTCTCTCCTCCTCCTTCTCCTCCCCTTCCTTTGTGTCGTCTCTTTCTTCTTTCTATCTCCTTCTTCCTTAATCCACTTCCTTCTCGTCTTTCTTACGCACACTTTTTTCTTCCTTCTTTCCCTCTATCTCTATTTTTGTTTGATTTTATTTTTTCGACCTCATCTTTCTTTCTCTCTTTTCTCCCTCTCTCTTTTTTCGTTCTACCCTTCTCTTCCCCCAATATTTTTTCTTTTTCGATCGCACTTTTTTCGCCTCTTCTTCAGTCATTTTTTCGTCTCGTTCTTTTTCTATCGCCTCCTTTCTTTAGCATCTTGCTCCGCCTCTTTTACATTCTTTCTTTCTTTCTTTCTTTCTTTCTTTCTTTCTTTCTTTGTATTGATTTAATTTTGTCGGTATCGTATTTCGTTCATCCTTTCTCCCTCTTTACCCTCTTTTTCATATTTCACTCTACCCTCGCCTCTTAATATTTCTTTCTCTTTCTGTCGCCCTTTTCCTTTCTCGTCCTCCTCCTTCCTATATGTCCTGCTGTCTCCTTCTTTTATCCTCTTCCTCCTCCTCTCCCTCTTACTTTCACTTACTTTTTTCTTTGTTCTTCCTTCTCCCTCTTTCCCAAGCCATTTTATCCCTCTTTTTTTTTTTTTTGCTTCGTCTTCCTTCACATCACCACAATTTGTTCCTAGTTTTTTTTTTATTATCACTTTCGTCACTCGGGACTTTTCAGGAAATGTTTTAGCCCATGCCTTCTACCCTCAAATTGGTGACACCCATTTTGATGACAACGAAAACTGGATCAATGGAGAACGGGGAGGAATTGATTTGGAGACAGTCGCTGCTCATGAATTCGGCCACGCCCTCGGCCTTAGACACTCAGAAAATCCCAAAGCACTAATGGCACCTACATATAAGATATTCCCCAATGAATTTAAACTTCACGAGGACGATATTGAAGGAATTCAGAGACTTTACGGTAAGTGGATTGATTTTCCATTTTTTTGGTTGGGATGTGTCTCATGCAGCACCCATCTGGCGATAATTAGTTGTCGTGTTGTCGGTAGCTTTTTTTAAAATGAGGAACTTTACTGCCATAGCACAACATCTTCAAACAACATAAGTTATAAATGCAACATCTTCAAGAGCATTAGATCTATTTCCAATTGTCCAATCACCAGCAAAATCCCAAAACACAGCAGATAGTCAAAAAATTCCATATTATTCAAGACCCGATTGCGTCCGGACCTAGTCCTTTTTTCAAATAAACTAAAGAAAGTCATCATGTGGGAACTAACAGTCTGTTATGAGGATAACGCAGAAGAGGCCAGTGAAAGGAAAAAACTAAAATACGATGAATTATTGGAAAGTTGTAGTAACAATGGATGGAAGGCAAGCTGCAAACCAATCGAAGTAGGCACAAGGGGTTTTGTGGCTAAATCTCTAGTCAGCGCCTTAACAGACATTGGGATAGTGGGAATAAAAAAACGAAAAGCTATCCAAACCCTTACTGAGACTGCAGAAAGAACAGTTAAATGGCTATGGCTAAAACACGCAAGTGTTTGGTCGAGCAAACTGGGGAAAACCTAAATTAATATAAAAGTGTAATTTTTTTTCTCTTATACATCATTGTATAAATGTAAATAGTGAAAAGATATGCCACAACTTTTAACTAACTAGAAATGCCGTAATCGGTTTGTAAATACGTATAATCGAACACAGACGTTTTTATTTTATTTTTTATTTTATTTTATTTTTATTTTTTATTTATTTATTTTTATTTTTTACACGGTTCATTTGTCAGCCATTGTAAATAATACATAAGATATTTATTAGCATTCTCGGTTTAATTCGTTGTATTTATTTATTCATTTTAATCGCATAAACGAGATTATTAGTTTTTTTTTATTCGTTAATATGTTTTAAACGTTTTATTTTTAAGCCCTTCCGGTTTAACTCGCTGTAAATTATTAATTGTTTAGTTATTTTATTTTTTTTATTCGTCAACATATTTTAAATGTTCTATTATGTAATTTATAGGATCTCTCGGTTTTAACTCGCTGTAATTTATTTATTTTATTATTTTTTTTATTCGTAAACAGTTTTAAACGTTTCATTATATTTATAAGCACCCTCGGCTTAATTCGCTGTAATTTATTTATTAATTTTAATAGCCGTTTTTTTTTATTTTTATTTTTATTTTTTTTTATCACTGTAAATAGTAATTATTAGCTGGTGAAATGAAACTTGATAGGAATTGGGTAAAAACGGAAAACATAATTACCTTCTAAGTATCCGATGAAGGGGTGTCCGCTGAAAAATGAAAAAAAGAAAAAAATCACCCGTAAACGGCTTAAATAGATTTCGCACTGTTGCGATTGGCTGTTGGTCAATCTCCAATCAAATGTGTGATAACGGGGTAGATTTATAGAAGTCAGTGTCTACAAGCATTTTTTAGGGGGCGTTTCAGAGTCTGATCAGCTCTGAGGGGGGTCGATTTGGTGAGGTCAGTATGATGTGTGAAAGACCCGAAACTGCCCAATGATCCATCTCCAGAACATCACTGACGACGCCCTTTAGCGCTAAAAGAGCGTATATTCAAAGCGTGACGCGCCTACAAATCAGCGCTCAAACACAAATTATTTGTCTGACTGGTCTTTGGAACCAAACCTAGAACTATCGATGAATGTTGCTTAATATATAACATTTCGCTGGCGAAATCAAAACTATACCAGACAGACATTTATGTGTTTAGATGCACCATAAGGAAATACGTCCCCGACGAGAATAAACCCAGACATAATTATGTTGGACACACAACAAGTAGCCTGTCAAGGCGACTGACGTTATATCTCCCCGACCAGAGCTCAATACGGACATAATTACGAGACAGCGGCACGATCGTGCTGCAGTGCGAGAAAATTTGTTTTCGTTTCTAAATGTATTTTTTGCTTCATGTTGTGCTTGCAGGCAAGAAATCGACCCATGTACCACCCAGTACTCCAAGAAGGACCAGCCCTGGAAAGACCACACCCAGAATAACTACAAACACACCAACAGGAAGCAAAGGATTTTGTAATCATTCGTACGCAAAGATCAATGCAGCCATGAGAAGTAAGTCTGTTCAGGTTATATTGTGTGTAGTCCATGTTGCATCACCTGTTGATGGTTGGAGATTCTTCTTCTTGTATCAGCCTCTGAAGGTTCTTTGTTTGACATATGCCTTCCCCAAGTTCACTGAATGGAATGGCCCATAAACCTACTGCCTCTTTTCGATTGATTTGCTTTTTATGGTTTAACAACTTCTTGAAGGTTATTTAAAGACATAAACTATTTTTCGATTGTAAGATATTTTTTATACATATCCTTATAATTAACCCATAGCTGGGGGAGAAGAGGTGGATTCCTAACCTTTCCCAATGATTTTTGCGCGTAAGTGAATGTAACGAACCCCACTGGAATTAGAACTCGGCTTCTCGATTTTCAATTCAGAACCGTTATTCATTACACCAGCCGCATATCTAAACTTAAAGCATCTGGCATTTCCAAGCGGTCACCCATCTAGCTACTGATCAGGTGTGACATTGCTTAAATTAATAATAACAGGAAACACTCAGCAAACCCTTCAGGCCAATAAGTAAAATAAGTGAAATCTCCTACTCTCCGGCATCATGGCAATTTGTTTTCTTCACTTCAAGACTGAATTCAAAGTTTATTTTTAGTCATAACTGATTTAATTGGGTTTATATTTTCAGATACAACCTAACTGATTTCCGTCCTGGGTAAGACGATAAACTACATCCGCGTCCTGAGTAAGACGGTAAACTACATCCGCGTTCTGGGTAAGACGGTATACATCTGCGCCCTGGGTAAGATGATAAACTACGTCCGCGTCCTGGGTAAGACGATAAACTACACCCGCATTCTGAGTAAGACGATAAACTACATCCGCGTCCTGGGTAAGACGATAAACTACATCCGCGTCCCGAGTAAGACGATAAACTACATCCGTGTCCTGGGTAAGACGATAAACTACATCTGCGCCCTGGGTAAGGCGATAAACGACATCCGACAGCAAGGCCTCTGAACTGGTTTTGAGGAGTGCAGAACCATCTCTTAATTTCTGGTGTTCTCAGATCCACTCTGACCCGGGATGGTAGCACCTGTTAGGGTCCCTGTTATTGATAAATAGTTAACCTCCAAATTGGGGCCAAACACTATGAAAGTGTAAAAATAAGTTTTAATACCAGAAATACTTTGTAAAAAATTATTATCAATAATACATTATCAATAAAAATCTTGACTGCATTAAATAATCGATTGTGGTTGATATATCGTAAAATAAAATAAAACCAAACCAAACCAAACCAACTGATTTCAGGAATATGATATTTCTATTTATTTTAATATTTTCGAATGGTCCCTTTGTCCAATGAAATTAAATTCTATTACAGGAAGAAGAATGTGGAGGTGGTGATGACGTTATACCACCGTGGCAGTAAAAGGATAGAAATAGTACGACCTTTAGTTTTCATTGTAACCCTTTGACTTCGATGATTCAGGAAATTCACAGATAATGGAATAGAGTTACTTCCCTTGAACGGAAATTCCTTCGATAAAAAACACAAAGCAGAAAAAACAAAAAAACAATTAAAAGTGACAGCACCAGCTTACCACATTCTAGGTTCCGGCACCAATCTTGCTTGGATCAAGTATGCACCGGAAGTTAACAAGCCTAGATCACGCAGCCAAAATATATGATCTAGAATACAATAACCTGAAAATAAAAACTGTCGATGCTGACGCTACATTTTTCAAAAACGCAGAAGATACAGGAATCGATGGCGCCGCAGACTTAAACACCACCTTGGATTGAACGAATACTTTAGGGGAGATCAATCTCAACCTAACAGTGCTGATGTGGCAGAGAGCAATGGTCACCTTTGAAATATTAATAGTTATAGTAATATAGAATTTTGTTTATAGATGAGAAAGATAATCTGTGGTAAAGTTTGTGCCCAGAGAATCTGTGCTTCGTCAGAATTGTTAATATGTCAAAACAATAGTGTTTATATGAACCATGGAATACCAACTGGGAAGAAGAGAATGTTCATTTAATCGTGAAGGAGGAGGGGTCAGTAATCAAGTTGTATTCTAAGTTTACCAACACCTCGGGTTTTTGTCCCTACCACCGCGTTTATTTATGCGCGTGTCTGTACGAAAACAAACTGTTGGAGTTGAAGTCGAGTTGGAATTGGAGCTGGGGTAAGTGAGTCGACAAGCAGTCGACCAGAGTTTGTGTGTGTGTGTGTGTGTGTGAGAGAGAGAGAGAGAGAGCGAGAGAGAGAGATAGGCAGTGAGAGTGAAAGCGTCCGCTTGCTGTTGTAATAAGGGAGGAAGTGAACTCAAGTTATCTGAAATATTGGCACAATACTGTCAGTGAACCCTCCTTATAACCTGATCGTGAAATAATTACGGCAACTACTAAGAACAAAAAGGATGAACCCGAAAACTATTTTTCTCCTCTCAGAATTATTTGCAAAATTTTTTTTCTGGACTTTATTTCATATACACTACTTTCTTGTAAAAGAAGCATTATTCTTTTTGTACCAATTTCTTCCTTAAATATATATATATATATATATATATATATATATATATATATATATATGCATAAATGTTTCTTTGCAGTCGAATCGACTTGTTCATATTTGATTTTTCTGCTTGACCCTATTCTCGCCCCAACAAACTTGCAGGCAGGACAGCTGAATCTTCCGGGACCTACGATTTGTTAAATACTCTCCAGGATCAAAAAAATCACAACGTGGCTGGAAAATGGAATTGAATCGACATTATGAACCGGAGACTTTGATTGAAGCTATATAATACTGGACCAGGACAGGACCAACGTCCGGTCTTGTAGAGTACTACAATCCAGTGGGGTCAGGATAGGTGTTCCACTGATACTTTTAATACTAATAATCCACAGACTATGGAAGTTGACAGAGAAAATGAATTCGAATCGGGATCGGGTGGATGGAGTGCAGAACAAATCGAACGAGTCTTACCTTGAATCGGATAACACGGTCGTAGAATTTGTATATAAGCGACGTTTGGAGAACCTTGTAAAAAAACTCACATGAACAAGGTAACAGGCATGTTCAGAAGAAAAAGAACAAAGGGGTGCAGGAATGTGGTAATTTCGCCTGGGCACACAGAAACTCGAGAGATTATATCGTACCTTACTTCGTAACGACTTGGATTCAGCAGCTCAAACGGGAAGCAAGTATACAACACGCGACAAGTTACAGATTAAAAAGAATAGATTTTACGATAGACAACATTATCTGTGGAGAATGGACCACAAAAAATATTCGTGCCAAATCCGCAGCCGTATTTCGACATATTCGTAGAGAGAGGATAGCATTAACGATACGGAAACTTTAGGCTGTTTGCTTTGAAGAAATTGCGTCCTTTGGAGTCAGGATCCATGCATTCAATTAGAAAATGTTTTACTGTATATTAAGTTTACCATATAGGACACCATGGTGGTTCTTCTTGTTACAGTAAGAATTAATCAACCATTTTAGTGTCACCTATTCATAGTCATGTAATAGTTACCTCTTCTCTTCGGGATATTTCCATAATGGCAAGGTGTTATTTCCTTGGGGCTGGTAAGATTGTATTTCAAATCTACCATTCGTCCTTGCATTGAATACTGTTGCCATATATGGTATGGTGGCCTCGCTGTTCATCTCGAGATCCTCGACAAAATCCAGAGACGGACATGCAATGCGATAGGTCCTGATCTGGCATCTCGTCAACAGTCACTTTCTCAGTGACGTACTGTGGCTTCCCTCTGTCTTTTCTAGAAATATTTTCATGGCAACTGCTCTGACGAGCTATTTTCACTGGCACCCCAACTGTATAAATTTAAACGTGCTACTAGGTTGGCACCTCGGTCCCTTCTTTCACTGTCGAAACGGTTAAATGTAACAGCCTCTTCTACTCCAACACCTTCGTACTTCCGGGCAGTGGAACTTCCTTCCTCCTACTTGCTTCCCTGATAGCTATAATCTTTAAATATTCAAATGTAATGTCAATCGACATCTTTTGATGCCTTGGTCCTGATCCCCTTCCTCCTGTACATCCTTTTCTCAAACACCTCTCCTTACTCTTGCTCACACTCTCTGTAAGCCCTTGCGTGCTAGTGGCACTCCTGCCTTGTTTAGAAAAATATTTTCATGTTTCTACTCCATTGTTCTTGCCATTGATTTTGCCCGTATTTCTTAATTAATAGTTTCAGGTCAACACATGGGATTTTGTAATTTTCAGGAACTCGTCCTAATGCCTGTTCAGCCATTTTGACTGCTCTATCATTGATAAATCTAAAAAAAAAAAAATAGCCAGCTTGATTCCCGAACATTTTCCTTCCCTTATCTGAGTGGTCACGACTCTCCACAACATCCTACCTTTATTAGCTCTAAGCAATAATTGACACCTTATTATCAGCCCCAATCCCTGCTCTGCCGTCATTTTTAACAAGCTCTTTAGGTAGGCTACCCTCTGTTTCCCACCCCCCTCTTTATTTCAACATAACCTTTGAGTGTTTATTTCTCCAAGCCGTCTTATCTCCTTATGTGTCACAGAAATTCAAATGACTCCCAATCAGACCCAAAATGGATTATTGCTACCATATCTGGGCTGGTGCCGCCCAATTCTCTTTTTCAGACCATGACAGAGTTTACAGTCTTGTGAGCGAGGAGTTATTTTTCATCCTACAACCATTTTCCCCAGAGCCGAAATACTGCAAGCAAATTACCATTCTATCGCTATTTCCATAGAAAATGGTCTGGCGGTCTACATTCCTTTGTTCATCCAGTTCAGACATTTACAAACTCGTTATGCCGTTATATGAATGAATACCAAATTCTCCAAAACCTTTGTCCGCATAATGGGTCCCAGAATATTCAACTCTCTCTTTCTGATCCGAAACACGAGGGAGGACCATTCCGTTCTTATTTTCCTTAAAACTTCCAGAACATTTCTTCTTGTAAAGTTTTATAAAAATCCCATTTTTAAAATATCTTTTTATTTCTTTTCTCTTTTTAGTTTCTGGAAACGACTTTGTTTTTGTTGACTACCGCTATGTTATCGATGGTCGAAGTGGGCGCAAAATGGACGTCCGCAGCCTCTTTCCGGGTGGCCCTTATATGGTACAAGCCGCTGTATATTCTCAACAAACCCAAAAAGCTTATTTATTTAACAGTATGTATCATGTAAATTCGATTTGTTCCCATACGATTGAGTTATAGATTTTATTTCTTGAAATGTTTGCACGTCTCTAGTAGATAAGGAAAGAGCTGATGGCTGATCAGGTCAATTATAATAATAATTGGTAAAGGACCAACGCCTTCTTCTTGAAATGTTTGCACTTCTCGGGTAATTAGCTGATGTTTGATCAAGTCAGTTATAGTATTAATTGTTGACCGGCCAAGACCTATCGATTATTATTATTATTATTATTATTTTTATTTTTATTTTCTTTGATTTCTGGCATTTACACATTTCTTTCCGGGTCACGCCCAGGGACCTAAGGTTAGAAATGGCGTCATGACACTTTCCACTGACAAAAAAAAAAAAAAAAAAAAAAATTACATAGATAAAGCCCTTCGTTAGGTGTGGGCTGTACTTGTCAGAACAATTTTTTGTATCTCCTTGAGGCATGGACTTCCAGGAATCCCTTCAATTAGTCTACTGCAATCTTTTCCAACCAGTCCTAGGGCTCCAACTACAACAGGGATTGTTGATGTTCCCATATGCCACATTTTCGAGATTTCTATTTCAAGGTCCTTGTACTTTGACAACTTTTTGAATATCTTCAAAGATACATTGCAGTCAGCAGGGACTGCCATATCAATAAGGAGACACCGTTTTTGTTTGTGGTCTTTAATAACAATATCTGGGCGGTTGGCCTTGATTGTTCTGTCAGTGTGTATTGTGTAGTCCCATAGAATTGTAACAGGTAATTTTAATTGTAACCGGGTCTGGGTGGTGTTCATACCAGTTTCTTTCAGTTTCCTTCCCGTAGAAGTTGCAGATTTTCCAGTGCAGATATTGACCCACTCTGTCATGTCGGGTTTTATATTCAGTGGGTGACAACACCGTGCAACCTGATACAAGGTGATCAATCGTTTCTGGATATTTATCACAGAATCTGCATTTTGGGCTGACACAATATTTTAGTATATGTGCTTGATAATTCCTAGTTAGCAAGCATTGGTCCTGCGCAGCAAGGATAAAACCTTCAGTTTCAGCTTTCAACCCTGCACTACGTAGCCACTGGTGGGTATGGGTTTTGTCTACGTCAGCTTGTTTGGTACGGGCAGAGTATTGGCCATGAAGCGGTTTATCTTGCCATCGCTTCTGTATCTGGTCGGTTGCATTCGTCTTTGCTGTCTTTTTTTAGGTATTTTGCAATTTCAGCCGGTGTATTGTGCTGTAGGTGCATCTCTACGCCCATTTGAAACTCCATTTATTATTATTATTATTATTATTATTATTCCTTTGATTTCTGGTGTGTACTCATTTCTTTCACGGTAACAACCAGGGACTTAAGGTCAGAAATGGCATCATCCACTGAGCATTTTGAAGAACGCCTAAGATCACACATATTTTACATAGATAAAGCCCTTCGTAAGTTGTGAGCTGTAGTTATGGGAACAATATTTTTGTATTTCTGTAAGGCATGGGCTACCAGGAATCCCTTCAATGAATCCATTGGAATCGTTTCCAATCTATCCGAGTGCTCCAACTACTACTGGAGCTGCTGATGTTCTCATGTGTCACATTTTCAGATTTCGTATTTGTAATTTGATGGTTTCCTGAAGATCTTCAAAGATACATTATAGTCTGTAAGGACTGTCATGCCAATAAAAAAAGCACATTTTTGTCTTCGCAGTCTCTAATCCAGATGTCTAGGCGATTAGATTTGATTGTTCTGACTGTGTATATTGCAAAGTCCCATAAAATTGTTACAGGTCATATCTCCGTAAGCGTGGAACCACCTCTTAATTGCTGGTATCCCCAGGTCCATCATGAGCCGGGGTGGTAGCACCTGTTAGGGTCCCAGCTACGGTCAAATATTTAACTATTACCAGCAATACTTTTTTGAAAAAAAAATATTGCCAGAAACAGATTTTTGCCAAAACAAAATATTACCAGCAATAAAATTTTTTCTCGGTATTAAATAACTCATCGAGGTTGATATACCGTAAAACAAAATAAACCAAACCCATCTCCGTAACCGGGCTTAGGTGGTGTTCATACCAATTTCTTACACTTTCCTTTCTGTAAAAGTTGGAGATTTTTCAGTGCAGATATTGGCCCACTCTGTCATGGCGGGCTTTTTATTCAGTGGGTGTAACCTGATACATGATAGTCAATTGTTTCTGGATATTTATCACAGAATCTGATTTATGGGCTAACATATTTTTTTATTATATGTGCTTGGTAATTTCTAGTTAGCAAGTATTGCTCCTGTGCAGCAAGAATAAAACTTTTAGTATCAGCTTTTAACTTTGCTTTTCGTAGCCATTTATAAGTACGGCGTTTGTCTACATCAGCTTGTTTGGTACGGGCAGAATATTAACTGTGAAGCGGTCTATCTTGCCATCGTTTCTGTGTCTGATCAATTGCATTTTCCTTTGCTTTCTATTTTAAGTATTTTTCAGCTGGAGGCGGTGTAGTATGTTTTACTTGCATTTCTTCAACACCTGAAACTCAATTTTGATCTTGGCTTCCTTTATTACTGAATAAAGGTTCTTTTATATTCTTTGATACTGATCATCATCCAGTCTTCTGTAGTTTCCAGTTATCTTTGAAGGCCATTTGATCTAGTTTTCTAAGACAGATGTAGTCGAACTAATCCTATGCCTCTTTCAGATCTGGGCACATATAGACGATCAACAACAGTTTTGGGATAATGCATGCGATGGCAAGTGAGAATCTTTCTCGTTTTGACGTTCATTCGCTTAATGTCAGCTATGGTCCAGTTAAGGATGTTGAAACTGTATTGCACCACAGTGACAGCCAAGCTGTTTAGGGCTGATATTCTGTTGTTTTTTTTTTTAATTCAGCTCCATATTCATTACCAGACGCACACGCCTTTAGTATTCCTTTTTTTTAAATTTTCTCCTTCATTTGAGCATGCTGTATTCCATCTCCTTCGCTAATTCTTAGGTAGGCAATAGGCATCTTGCTCCAGTTATCTAAACTTTGTATCAAAATCTATAATTTTTCGGATCTTCTGTTTCACCCGTTTTTGGCATGAGATATGTAATACCTTCAGTGATTCATTCTGGGACTTCCTTAGGATTATTAATATGCATTGATAGAGTTTGTGTAAGGGTTTTATTGATTGATAACAGATGATAGAGTCAAAAATTTTGTACCTTTCCAGTTTCTGGGGATTTCGTTAGAGCTTGCCTAACATTATACGTGGTTATATTTTCCCATTCTTGTAGAGGTTTATCCATCATTCGTTCTCATTTGACCCATTTTACATTGGGTTTATATTTCTCTGGGTTGCTCCAAATATTCTCCCAAAATTTTTGCACTTTTTTAATAGATAGTGGCTTTTTTGAAATCTATAAATGCTTTTCCAATTTCCCTGTAAAATTTCTTAAGGTGCATTTGGAATATTTTATTTTGGCGATAGAACGTACAGTGTTTTTCGTATCGACTTGTTCTCTGTGCCTTTAACTGCAGTTTCTGTTTTAGGAATTTCTTGATTCCTGGAATTTTATTCATTGATTTAATTTTATATCTCCGCTTGATCTTCCTGCATTTGTGTGTTAAGATATTTGGGTTTCTTGAGATCTCGTCTAATATCGATGTTTCCTTTATTTCTTGAACCAATTCCAAGCTGACTCTTTTTCTCTGATTCATCTATTTATCTAGATTACAATATATGGGCCTACAGTCTTGATTTAGCCGGACGATTTAATTTGGCCAAGAATTTTCCCAAATTTATTTACAACATTTACAGCCATAATCCAGAAAGTGCGATGAGGGTCAATTATGGCATCGAGAGACTATATCTCATCAAGGTTTGTATAATTCCCCACCTCTCTCTCTCCCCTTATATAACTTCTTTCTTTCTTTCTTTGTTTTTATTTTATTTTATTCTTTTTTTTTATACATTCATTTTGGCTTTCGTTTTTCGTTCTTTCTTTCCTTCTTTTATTTTTTTCGCTTTTCTTATTTCTTTTCTTTTCTTTCTTTCTTTTTATTTTTCTCCTTCATTATTTTATTTCCTTCTTTCTTTTATCTATGATTTCTTATATTCTTTCTTTTTCTTTTCTTTCCTTCTTTATTTTTCTTTTTTCAATTCTTTTATATTTCTTTCTTCATTTTTCTTTCTTTCTTTATTTTCATTTTGTTTCTTTCTTGTTTTCTTTGTTTCTACATTTTCTTTAATTTTTCTATTCTTTCTTTTTGTGGAATAAATTTTATTTTCTTTCCTTCTTTTATTTTCTTTCTTTCTTCATTTTTATTTTCGTCCTTTTTTCTTTTTTTTAATATTTTCTTTTTATTTTGTTCCTTTTTCTTTCTTTCTTTCTTTCTTTCTTTCTTTTCCTTCTTTTTAGATTTTGTTTTCCTCCTATAATTTCAATCGTTATTTATTTTATATTTTCTTTCTTTCTTTCTTTCTTTCTTTCTTTCTTTCTTTCTTTCTTTCTTTCTTTCTTTCTTTCTTTCTCACCTCCCTTTATTCTTTCTTTCTTTTTTCTTTATTTATATAATCTTTCTTTCTTTCTATCTTTCTCAATGTCGTTTTCTTTCTTTCTTTCTTTCTTTCTTTCTTTCTTTCTTTCTTTCTTTCTTTCTTTCTTTTGTTATTTATTTAATCGTATTTCCCGCCTTTCTTTATTTTCTCGTAACGAATAAAGCAACATGTTCACCATTGGGGCGATTTTTTCTAGATTTATTTTGTTTTCATACTTTTGTTATTTATTTTCATTTTCTTTATTTCCTTCCTTCCTTTCTTTCTTTCTTTTTCTTTCTTTCTTTCTTTCTTTTTTTTTCTTTCTTTCTTTCTTTTTTTCTGTCTTTATTTCCTCATTCCTTTCATTTTTTTTATTTCGTTTTTCTTTCTTTATTGTATTTTCTTTTTATTTTCTTTCCATCGTTATTTTTCTTTCTTTCTGCCATTCTTATATTTTTATCTCTTTTCTTCTCTTTCCTTTCTTAATTCCGTTCTTTATTTTCATTTTCTTTCTTTCTTGATTTTATTTTTCTTCTTTCTTTCCATCTTTATTTTATTTATTTCTCTTTCTTTCTTTTTCGTGATTTCTTTTCTCTTTCTTTCTTTCTTTTTTCTTTCTTTTTCTTGTAACCAGTAAAGCAACCATTTCATCATTGTGACGATTCTTTGAACAAATATCCCTTGCCTATTTTTTGTTTCATCCATTTTTTATATATTTCTTCAACAGAATGGATACTTCATGGAATTCGATCCCTACTACGAAAGGGTAACTTCCGGCAGAGGATATCGAACACGTGACGTTTTCCTCAATATTCCACATCAGATCGATGCAACAATATCTTCCAATGATGAAGTCTACTTCATCTCGAAAAAGAAGTAAGTTGTTTCACCAATTAGATTAAGAACTTAAAACCTCATTCATTTAAGTAAACGCTCTGCTTATAATAAACAGTATTAACGACATTTACCGGCCTGAATGTCGGAGGACGCATATTTTCTATGAAACTTTCTTGGGCATTCAGGCCGGTAAATGTCGTTAATACTGTTTATTATAAACAGAGCATTTACTTAAATATTTGTATCTATAAAAAGAACGTATAAACAAAAAAAATGTCTTAAAAATAATTGTCGGACTTTGTCCATTTCATAATGTGCGACGTCATTTGTTTACATTTGGATACGCATCGATCAGATATTAATATACGAGAGAAAATCATGGAGAATTGTAATTTAAAAACAGTAAAATCGATCTCGTTAACCGAAACGTTCCTCTGTGGCGAAATCGGTAAAAGCGCGTCAGGCTATATGACGGTTCCGTATAGGATACAGGTTCGATTCATGTCGGTGGACGCATGTTTTCTATGAAAATTTCTCGGACATTTATTTTGTTAATACTGTTTATTATAGACAGGGCATTTACTTAAATATTTGTATCTATAAAAAAGAATGTATTAACATAAAAAATGTCTTTAAAATAATTGTTGAACTTTGTCCATTTCATAATATATGAGTATATACAAACCATCTATATATAAAATTCTGTGACTTCTGTTAGTCCGTCACACCCAATAAAATTGGTTTTACTAGTGTGCGTAGGTTAGTACAATAGATTTTAATTGTCTTTTTTTGGAAAAATTAAAAGTTTTATTATTTAACCTATAAAATACTCCCACTAATTTCAAAACAAGTTAATGATTAAAATAACAAACACATATTTAATAAAAATGTAGTATTTTTTTTTAGTATATCTTTTCTTTAAGTTTGTATATACAAGAATCCAGTTTCCAGTTCACCCTGCGTTTCCGAGAACTAAGAACAAATCACAAAGGCAAACGCTTTAACAAGTTAGAATTTGTCTTCGGAGAGAAATATTTACGTATGGCCAGTGGTATGCTGCATGCTAAAGAGTAAGAAATCCTAAGAATTTATTCTTCGCTGTTAAAAAGGAAAAATGAAAAAAAAAAATCCTTATAAATATTGTATATCATGAAATATAAAATCAAATTAAATTAAAGAAACGAATAAGAGTTTTTGTCAAACGCTGGCGTAATGGATAGCGGTTTGGACTGAGGAATCAGAAAGCCGAGTTCGAATTCCAGTCGAATCCATTACATTCACTTACGTGCTAATATCCTTAGGAAAGGTATGAATCCTCTTCTTCTTCCCCCAGGTATGGATAAATATCTGGATAGACTGAGTTCTATAGCCTTCGGTGACAAATGGTCTACCGCAGAAAGAAATGGTAACCTATTGCGGGAAAAAATCAGTCATGTATCGAAAGATACATGATCGCCTAAGCATATAACTGGCTAACTGATTTTTCCAAACAAATTACCTTATTCCAATTTCATCGATTGTTTGCGAAATTGAACGAAACGTAGAGTTTGTAAATCTCGACTAGAAATCTTAGCGATAATTTCAACAATATTAAATACTGGGAGGACTCCAAAACGCAGCGGTATGTTGCAAAAATTCTAGTAATTAAAAATGCTGGAGAAATGGCCAGTTCCTTATACCTCTCCAGAAAATAATTGGCTTCTTCTATCATGCTTTATCTTTAAAAGAGCCAGATCAGACTCAGAATGGAGTATTGGTATCGTATCTGGGCTGGTGGGGATCAATCCCCACGTTCCAGCATTCATAAAGTTCAAAATAGTTTCTGTGGTTTTGTAGAGAAGGCCTCTGAACTATGAAGCCTCCTTCTCGCTGATGTGACATTGTCAGCCTATCGCTGCACTAACACTAATTCGATGGCACATTTTCAGAAAAGCTCCACTTTGGTTCCACCAGGATCGGCCCTATTCTACCAGGACACGCTATATTACTTCCACGGCATCGAATCAGCCTCATTTCCCCCGTGTTTTAAATGTGAGAAGTAAGTTCCAACCTGACAGCTTTATTATCCAAGAATTATCTTTGTGGAACAGACTCCCGCATGAATGTTTCCTTGGACAATATAAGGGTCAATTGTTATCTGTTCGTTTTAGCCTCATAAGCTTCACCTCCTACCAGAACTCTTTTTTATTCATATAACACAGCTCGTTCAGCAATAATGGTAGTCTTCTACCTTGAGGGGATTTCGAGACTTATATTGAGTGAGTTTCAGTTGTAAAGTTTATTAGGCAAGATATATGAGTCCCACCTTGATAGCTTTTTTATACAAGAATTACATCTTTGTGGAACAGACTCCCTTGTAAATATTCCCCTGGACAATACAATCTTGACCTTTACGGGTCAAGGGTCAATCGTTATATATTCTCTTTATCTGCATAAACTTTACATCCTACTACACCTCATTCATAGTTAACGGCAGTCTTCTACCTTGAGGGAATTTCGAGACTTATACAGATTGAATTTTATTAGTAATTTTTTTATGCAAAGATATGCGAGTCATGAGTAGAATTGGAAGAGAACTTACAAGCAAAACATTCTGCTTTATCAGCAGAAAATGTAAACTTCTCAAATTGAGTGAAAAGGCCGAGATAGGAGACTAACTTTGAGTTAATAGTGCCACCAGTAGTCATGAGAGCCAAAGTTGTTTGCTTCACTCTATCAAGAAACAAAGACTTAGCCCCTTCGAGGGAAAGTTTACAATTAATACGTGCTGACACAAATAGGCGTCTGATGTGATCGGAACTGTCATGCCGGTATAGCCGGAAAAAAGTGTTTCCTGTAGGGTATAGTGGGAAAACTGGCCGGTTTGAATCATTCCGGTCGTTATATGAAGTGATTTTTATTTTAAAAGATCAGACTTTGACGTTTGACCAAGAAAAACATTTATTCATCGTACTCATCCCATAGAGATCGACTTCTGTTTTTCAAACAACTCCAATAGAAACGAATTCGATTAACAACATACATTTTTTTCTTCTGCGGAAATGATTTTCGGGAAACTGACTTTTTTTCATTTTCTCTTTATTTCAGGGCCTACAGAATGTCAATGAGAGACTTAAGATTTTGCGTTGATATCCGAGGAAAACCAGTTAATTTAGCTTTCAACAAATGTCAAAATTAAGAAAAAAATTGTTAAAGAGAAAGATTACTCTTTCCTAATGTGACCCAAGAACAAAACAAAATCTTTTTTTGTATTTTTAAATAAAAGAACATTTTTCAAAAGAAAAAAAAAATTAATATTTGTTTTGTTTTTTTTTTACATTTTTAATGATTTTTTAAAGATTTTTAATGACATTTTTAGAGATTTTTTAATGATTTTTTAAAGATATTTTAGTGACATTTTTGAGAGATTTTTTAAAGATATTTTAATGACATTTTTGAGAGATTTTTTTAATGATTTTTTATGCCGATTTCCTTAGAGATACACACACAAAAACATATATATAACGGTATGTGTTTGTGTTTGTGTGTTTGTGCATGTATGTGTGCGTGGGTGTACAGATGTGTTCACTGATTCCTTGTAGTGAGACAGTGTGTAGATATAGAGAGGAGATATACACATATATACACGCATGCTGACAAAAGCACACGAAAATGAAAATAGATCTAAGAACACACAGGGATCATTAAAAGATAAGAATGCGGATAACTACTCCATCATTTTTCGAACCAATCTTAATTGTTTTATAACACTTCACGCAGAACTTTTCACTGCCAGTTCAAGAAAGACGTTTGGATCACTCACACAAAAAAAGAGAATGTCTCATATCGAGAATATCTAACATCGAAAAACATAAAGAAAAAAATTAATTATTTTTAATATGTGGAAATCTCAAACCTTTTGCCTGATGACAGTCGCGAGACCGGAAACGCGTGTAGCAAAATTACGGAAAATAAACCATAATATTTTATAAAAATCCACATTACAACCAAAAACCTTTGCGGTTTCTCTCTTCTTTTTAATATACACACTTTTCTCTCGTTAAGACTACTATAACCTCTTCCTTATATATTACGGAATTAAAAACTGTTGAGGAATTCACATATCAAGTCTCTTCTGGTGGAATAATGGATAGAGATATCCAATCCAGAATAGCCAAAGCCAGCACAGCGTTCGGTAATCTTAAACACAGGTTATGGAACACTAAAGACGGCTCCTTAGAGTTCGACATATATAGATCAGTCGTTCTCTCAACCCTTCTCTATGGGGCTGAAACTAGGAAGTAAATCATCTTGATGCCTTTTACATGCGCTGTCTTTGTGCCATATATGATATAAAATGGGATGA